CTCCCTTTGCGTTCAGGGGCGTAATGGAGAAATCCTTCATGGAATACTACGACTTCTATGAAGGGGTGTGTAAAGAGAGACTTTATCTCCAAGGACAGACAATGCAGGTGGGTGGCAGACAATTGTCTTGTTGATAACACGCTGCCTTAGATAAGGGTATGTGGTTAGTGACAAACAACAGTGTGCAGCACGTAGAGGTACCTGGCGTGGATCTGGGTCTTTTCTATGAAGTGTATATTCTAACTTTGAATCAGCCATGAAACTCAGACCTGGAGACGGTCCTGTGGATAAAACACTGCCTTCCCCAAGTTCAGAGTACGCACACGGTGTTTTCAAGGCTGTTAGACTTCTCGGAGTGCTGGACCTGAGCCACTCTCCAGGCAAGCAGGTACTTCTTTCAGCAGTGGAACCGGTACAGTTTGCTTTCGTGTGGATCTGGTGTTAAGCAGGGAGGGCACATGCAGGTTATTCAGTGCTGGTGGCAACTGAACTCCATTGCAGTGTTTTCCTGTTGGGTCCCTGGTAGAATTTCTCTTTTTCTGAGGTTTCTTCGCTCACACAGCAGATAGGAACTTTTCTTTGACACTCCTTGTTCTGTTAGGTGAGACTGAAAGTGGCTGCCTGAGTCAAAAGGTGCTGGAGGAGGACGGGGTGGGGGAAGAGTGACAAGACAGCAGTGGCATCTAGACAGGTTGAATACAGGGGCTTGTTTCTGCAGGAAAGTAGACTTTAAAGAATAGATTGCCAAGCTATTTGCATATGAACAGATGTGTCTTCCTCCCTCATCAGCCACCTCTTGTCTGACTCATTGAGAAATTCCACTGCTAAGAAAAGATGGAGGTGGCTGATTTAATGATCTTGTGTCTCTGAGCCCTTTTTTCCTGTCAATGCCTTCTCTGGCTGTGTGATTCATGAATTGAAAGCATTCGCAAAGCAGGAGAGTTGATGTTTGGGGTGAGAAATTCCCATAAGGAAGGTCTGTGTCTGCGGAGAGTACTGAACTGGAGGCTGTGTAGTGAAGTTTGGTGACATTAGAGGATTGTCAGGTGCAGCCTGCTCTTGTTTCTTCTTCAAGGAGCCAGGGCTCGGTTGCTTTCTCCGTGGGTTTATGGACTGTGGCCTGGGACTGTGCTGTGTTCAGTTCCCAGAGGCAGTGACTGCTGTGGTCTGTTTTCTGCTCACTTGTAAATCGTAGTGCAGGAAGCATGAACGCAGCGTGCTGGAGGGATGGCATTGTTGTCTTCGTTACCCTGTATTTAAAATGAAGTCACTCCAGGCTCAGTATCAGTTGAGTGCTTGCCAGATGTGCTGTGGTGTTAACTCTGGGGCTGCATGTTGGCTTGTACCAAAGATTCCCGTCAGGTAGGACAGCCTAAACTCCACCACCACCTTATACAGCCCTGGCAATGTGTCTTTGACCTGGGACAGGGATAAAAGCAGCAAATGTTAAATCATCTCCAAAGACTTTCTGCCTCTGACTTGGCTACATCTCAGCTGGGGGCCTTGATTTAAAATGAGAATAGCAATGCTTTCATTTGGAAAGGGTCTGTAGCACTAATGTAAAGTGTGGTCCAGCTTTTGGCCTCTGGATTTTAGGGGCTTTCATTTGGAATGATTTCCCTGCCTCCTTGGAGTGGGCCTGAGACCAAATCTTTGAAATAGTTTACTTTTTCAAAGCTGCTAGTAGAAATCCAACCCATGTCTGCCTGGCCTTTCCTCTGTTTTTGAAGTTTGTAAGGTTTCCCGAAAGAGACTCTAAACAGAAATGATCTTCAGTCTTCAACCTCTGCCGTGACAGTGGAAAGTTTAGGGGCCTCTCTGTCATAAGATGGGATTTAACCCTTATCGTAGGCCATTTGTTGCCCAATTACTACGCAGCTTTTTTCTTTCTGCCTCTTGCCAGAAGGATAATGGTCTATATTAATAGGCTTATCTATGGTTTTCTTCCAGGATCCTTTTGGTGAAAAAAGAGGCCACTTCGACTATCAGTCCCTATTAGTGCGTTTGCAAGGAATTCGGCAGAAGGTGCAAGAGAAACACCAGCAGGAGAATACAGAAATAGACTCTGAGAGCAGCTCCTCTGAGACAGAGACAGACACTCAAGGTTGCTCTAAAGCTTAGAGCTGCGTTAACAGCGGAGAGGCCAAGCCGTGGGGATGTTCTGTCTTCACACTCTAGAGTACCCCTGACAGACTCGACAACCAAATCAATGCCAGAGCGGAGAAAACCGCGGGATATCTTCTGTCGCCTTTTACTGCTCTGGTGGATAACGCTGAACGAGAAGACTTCATGCTAGACAAAGCCAAGCTTGTGACAGGCTACTCTTAAAAGGTACTTACTATGCTAGAAAGCTGGAGCATGTGGCATCAGGTTATTTTTTGGAAACACCTACACTGGTTGTTTTGAGTTTTTTGGTTTTTTTTTTTTTTTTTTTGTTCCATTTGATTAAAGAATGAGATCTAGACTGCAAATCCTCTTTACAGCTTTTCTGTTCCTAGACAGTGAGCCCTTCCCTGGGGCCATGCTGAACGTGGAGCTGTAGCTGTGGGAGCGCTTTGATGAGTCCAGGGTATGACAGGGCCCACGCACCGTGTGCCCAGGCGAAGCCTTTTTGTGCGGGTTGGGAGAGATGGAGCCTCTCTGCTCTGTGGAGCCCATCTACCTGATGTCTTTCTTCTAGACACTGTTCTAGACAGACCAAAGATAAAGAGCAGTGGTGGAATCTGGGCTCCTTTCTGAAAGCTTTACTCAAGCCCTGGGTGACTTCGTCCACTGAGACTTCAGGCGCAAAAGGGCGGATGAAAATGGAAACTGCAAGAATCCGTAAACCAAGTGCAGGTGTGTTCATCCTGGCGTTTTGGGGAAGGGAGGGTGAGAAAATCATTGGTCAGAGATGGGGGGAGCACTTAAAAATAAGTCTAGTTTGTGTATTATTTTTTTAAGGTATTGATTCGAATTTAGCCTTCTAGAAATACTTTATTCTCGCTGCTCTGAACAGAGCTGTTTTGTTTCCGTAACTGAAGTACTCTTTGCTTTCCACCTCTCTACTCGGTGTAATATTTTATTTTCCTCCCTTCTTCCTCCTGCCACCTCACTCCCTGCTGCTACCTTGATCCATCGGATGGAAACGCTAGGATAAGGGGCAATTTTGGCTAAGGAAGGCACTCTTTCTTCCGAGGTGTATGCCTTGTTACTGACAAACTCCTTTGCCAAACTTGGCCGAGCGCAAGCTGGCCAAGTGTTGTAAAGTTTAACACTTCAGTGCTTTGAACATTTTAAACAGCAGCTTTTTACTGTGAGCGAAGGCCAGCCTCTTGGAGAGATGTCTGCTGGCTGCGAGTGCCGTTACAGCAAAGATATATTCAGTGTGACTTGGGTGGAGGTGAAATACCCACTTTCTCCAGGTAAATGAGCCTGGTGATGATTGATTGGAGCAGTATAACATTTTGATGATAAAGAGCGTGCTTTGAACATTTTAAACAGCAGCTTTTTACTGTGAGCGAAGGCCAGCCTCTTGGAGAGATGTCTGCTGGCTGCGAGTGCCGTTACAGCAAAGATATATTCAGTGTGACTTGGGTGGAGGTGAAATACCCACTTTCTCCAGGTAAATGAGCCTGGTGATGATTGATTGGAGCAGTATAACATTTTGATGATAAAGAGCTTAATCTTCTTTTTTTTCTTTTTTTTTTTTTTTTTAATTTTTATGGGAGCTTTGATAGAAAGCTAAGCACAAAGTTGCACATTGTCCTGGGCCCTCTCCCAGTTTCCTTACACACCTTCCCACCAGCTCGGCCCTGTTTGACTCGTAGTGGTGGGAGAACTTCCAGCGCAGTCATCTTTGTTCTAAAAAAAGCGCAGAATAGAGGGGCCAAAAGACCCCTGCTGTGCGCTGTACAGAAAGGCAATGCCCCATGCGTCACTGAATTATTTTCGGTCTCTATGATTTATATCAACTCTTGCAGAACTCAGAAGCCTGCACACTGCTGCTTAAGCAGCTCTGAAAAGCCAGAAGGTGGAAACAATTCAGAATTGTTAAGGTGCCGTTTAACAACTTGGGAACCTTTTTTTTCCCTTTAGCAAGCAAACTCCCCTGGGTCTGTCGTTGGCTTGATTTAGACTTAAACCCCGTCTTCCCTCGATGGAAAGCTGAGCTGTCATAGGACTCGCTCAACACATACACCAGATGAGAGTAAATAAAGCGGTGTTCACCTTGAGATGCGGTCTCAGGGAGGCAGAGGGGTCTCCTGAGAAGTCATGAGCTGTGTCCTACTTTACCGCCTCTTTAATCCCATTGTAAATGTCACGTTGTTTTTCACCGTTCAGTAGCGTTGTGGGTAGAGCTGTGACTCTGCTGCCTTCCCAAGGCAGAGCTGGTTCTGAAATCTGTTTGTGATGCATGTGGCGTTACCATCCACCGATACAACGAAACAAGAAAATGCCTTATTGTGGACACTATTCACATAACTAGCATGTGGCTGTAAAAGAGAAGTATTAGTTTTATAGCTCTATTGTTGTCTGTCCTACCATTTCTGAATGTTTCCATTTCAAAGTGACAATCCTCAAATGACTGCTCTAGGCAGAGATGTTTTAGCAACAGATTTTTAGACCTAATTGAGTTGAAAAATATATGCACAAGAGTCACTCTAAGATACCTTGTTTATATACTATTGTACATAAGATTTTTTTTTTTGTGCAATAAAGTTTGTTTTGGCAGAATCTAGACTGTGGTACTCCTTAGTGGAACAACAACTCATTCACAGAGCAGAGAGGACTACAGAACAGTTTCTCAGTGTCACTGCTGGCTCTAAGATTCTTTAGCTGGAGTCACATTTGCATCCTCCAAGACTGCAGTTGCAATAGCAGCTTAGATCATTTTCCTCTTGCTGTGACAAGGTAATTAGTTGTCTGTAATGGTAAGCAGCATTTCCACCCACAACAGAGGAGAAAATTCAGAGGTAAGCAAGTACGAATTAATCCTATTAAACTTTTCAAGCTAGACACTTTTTACAAAACTTTTATTTCAAGTCCGCTGTCCCTGTGTTTCAGGTGATATGCAAATAACCTCACAAGAAGAATTATATACAGGCACAGAACACGTAGCAGTCAAGGTATTGCCTCCTTGGCTTCCTCTGGAGTGATTTCCTGAGAGTACAGCTCTGTAAAGAGAGCAGGCAGCCAGTACTGAGGTTCTCCTGCTGCCTGCGTATCCAGCCAGGCCATTCCTTCCTTCAGCAAGTGTTCCTATACAAACAAGAGCAGAAACTGTGAGTGAAACTTCATTAAATGGCTGAGAAGCCGTTCACAATAGAGGCCTGACCCCACATTTATGCTAGGGTAAGGGAGGGCGTAGAACTTGGGCTACAGTAATTTTTACTCAACTTGACCAGGACAACTATAGTTCAGGCATCCAGCCATGCCCACTGTGCACATTTATGTAGGACCTGAGCTAACAAGATTCAAGTTTTCATGGAGATTAGTGAATCCACAGGAATATCTGCAGCTTCTGACATCCTGCTTTCCTCAGTCTGTGTTTACGGCAGTGTGTACTCTGCCTTTGGTCTGCCAGCTAGCTTAGGATCCCCTGCGCGTGCTGTGATAACGCATCCGCTGCCGGGCTGCGGGAGCAGTGGCTCCACGCTGTCACTGAACTCCACGGTGCACAAGAGACCTTCATACATACCAGCACTTGCTTTGCGCGTTCCGTCTCCCACTTCAGACTGGACCTGATCTCACTGACTGTTACATAGCCCTTTTTCTGAAATGAGAGGAAAAATACTATGTGCTTATCATCAACTTAAGTTCATCGTTTAGAAGAGCGTGGACAGCTTTGCCTATAGGCCTGGTCTAATCACAGTTCCTTGTCATGGAAGCAATAAGGTTTTTCCAAGGTGGTTGTATTTTAAAATCTCCTGGCTCAATACCTCTGCCAGCTGCAAGACGACAGTGTGATCCATGTTCAGTTCAGCTGGTACAGACTGGATCAGATATGTTCCACCAACAGGGATAATCCCAAAGCCATTCCCCAAGACCTTCAGTTTCTTGATTGCACGAAGGAGATCGTCCCTGAGAAGCAGAGGTCAATGCAAGGCTTTAAAGCGAGAGCCTCTCTCAAACTGCACGTTATGTTCTGTAAATGAGGAAGACTGGACGTGCAGAAGCTATGAGCAATAATAGCTCCTTGGAGCTTGCTGCAGTTTCAGGTAATCAACAGCTGAAAAAAATTTTATAAAGCAATTTAGGATTAGTTTGCATATCTGTACCCCCTTCAGAAGTGCAGACTCGCATTAGAGACATACTTGTAGCACCTGAGCTGCAAGTGCTAAACTTCAAGATTCAGCCCCAGTTAGCGATCGTGGCGAGTCGTGTCCTAAAATCTGCTTCTGCAATGACATGTATCGGTCCCTTCCTCACAGCTCAAGAGAGCGCAGCAGCTTCAGCAGACTGTGGCAGTAAGAGAGCTGGATTTGCAGGGGACTAATTGTCTCCAGCTCAATGCAACAGTCCTTTATGCCTTAGGGCTCCCAGAGAAAGCACGCTGATGCTTTCTGAAATGGTTAAGTCATTAATTGTGGGTCACATGTAAGTGGCTCCAGTGCTAGAAATCAAATTTGGAGTCCAATTAACAGCAGCGCCTTCAAGTGCTGCTGAGATCAGTCACCCCCTTTTCTTCCCTGAATGCTGATGCCCCTTTGCTGTAATAGACAGACACTCACTGGCTGACATCCTGAGCAAACTTCCCCCTTCCCTTCAGCACTTGCTGGTGAAGTTCTTCCAGTGTTATCAGGCCTAGGGGTCAACAAAAGGAGACAGGAAAGCATTACTGCGTAGCAACAAAATTACTGCAGCAAGAGCTGTCAAGGGTCCTTTGTGCATCTGCCCCTGGCTCACCCCTGCCTTCCCTTTTACAAGCGGCTGTCCATTGTTCCCGATACCAAGCCTTGGGCGAGATAAGCATCGAGTCACTTCTGTTCCCAGAACTAAGGTGCAGCAGTCAGCTGTCACCTTCTCCCACAAATGGATTGGACTCAAGTTTCAACTGGCTTTGCTGTAGCCCATTCCTGGTCCAGACTGCCCTTTTGGCGTGAAGAACATCTACTATCTTTTAATTCGGCACTTAGCACTGGCATTCCAACTCTTCTGGATATTGCTGTGATCCTCTAGAGACAATCTTACTGCCAGGCTCAAAGCAGTAACTTATGTTTTGTACTCTTTCAAGACTGCCATTGATCCCTGCTCCTTCCCCATGACGCTGTGAGTTACAGTTTTGTGAACTAAAGAGGGCACAGTTGGTCGATTTCTGTAGAAATCAATGACTGTGGGCGATTACCAGTGGTGTAGCTGTAACATGTTGTAGAAACAAAACAAAGCTTTTTGGGGACAACGAAGACAAAACTGCCATCTCAGTAATTTGTGAAATCTCGTAAAGAACACTACACTGAGCCACGTGACTCATTTTCCACAGGGAAAAGGTATCCTCCTATTTCCTGTATCTCCTAGAAACCAGACATGGCAGGATCCTCACCTCCATTCCTGTGTTTCAGAGCCAGGCAAACTTCAATGATCTGCACACCCAGTTCATAGTAAAAGTCTCCAACTCCCAGCATCTCTGACCAGAATCCTTTACCAGCTGTGAAGTGAGAAAGGGGAAAGCGGTTGGACCACTGGCAAAAATACCCTTCCTTAACAATTACTGGTGCGAAGCAGACTGCTCGCAAACCTCGCTGCAAGGACTCTCAGATCTGCCAAGGAAGAGTCTCCATTTTGGTTACCTCCACCTGTTTTCCCCCACCCTTTAAGTAAATAACACCCAAAGGTACATTACACCAATTCACAAACCCCAAGAGCCAAACAGCACCAGCTTTCCTCATGGAAACTTCAGCTTCGCTGCGAGCTGTTTACAGTATGAGAACAGTGAGATGAATCCCTAGTCATTAACCCCGGCGCCTGTTCCTCACATGCCAAAGGATCCACTCCGATTGTGGCACACATATCCTGGAACTGGACCCGGAACTCGGGGTTTTTACGGATCTCTTGTTTGTGTTTGCTGGCAAACTCTTCTAAGTTGGTCTTAAACATGTCCAGCTGCTTAGACATCTGAAAGAGAATTGCAGAGAAGCATTTCTGTCTTAACACACAGTGCAGTTTTTCTGTAAGCACAGCTCCCAACAGGCACTAAGTGAGCAGAGTCCTCAAGAAACACTCCGGTCTCTGACGTGCTGCCTACCCAGTGCAGATGGCCCCAGTGGTCTTAAAGGAAGGAAACAAGATAAAAATCGCTCGACGGAATTGGAATTCTCTACATGTACGCTTTTAACACTGAATACAATTTAATGTCAGTGGAGATAAGACAAGGCAAAGGGCTGTTCTGATTCCGGGGACGGGCTCAGAAGGGGGGCAGCAGTTACTCTGTGATGTACAGGGGCAGAAACGGTTGCACAGAAATGAGATGTTGCTGAGGGCTCGAGAAGGGAGGCAGAGCGAGACCTGCAGCAAACATCACAGCTCTCTGACGGAAAGGCAGCCTAAGGGGTGCCATCGTTATCCGCGCTGCTCGTGGATAACGCTCTGGGCGCCGAAGCAGAGGAATCGAAGCCCAGGTTTGCGGCTGGGCTCACACCCACAGCTGTTCCCGCTGCCAGGGCAGGGGCGGAGCTTCCACCTGGTCCAGCTGGTCTTCGGCCAGGACCGTCCCTCGCTCCTTGTACTTCGCCTGCAGGAGGAAAACGGGATGATGGGGACAGCACTGAAGGAGACACAAACCAAGAACTGAAACCAGTCGAGGGAGATGCTCCTCAAAGATGGATGAACCGGGAAGACACGCGGCCCTGTGCCCTGGGCAAGCGGGGAGGCTGCCAGGACGCTCGGAGCACCCCGGACGTGAAGCAGGGCTGTGAGGACGGGGATGGCCCCACCCGGGCCTGG